ATTTCAGATGAGTTGTTCCAGAGTTATCATGCTCACCGCTGAAAAAAATTTATTTTTGCAAGACGGCTATATTTTCTTTATTTTTATACATTTAGACTCAAAAAAATTATTATAAGTACTTCAATGTATATACTATTAGATGCCATGAAGCACATTTCAATAAATGTTTGTCTATACTGCTAAAAAAAATCGTGAAAATCATCTTATTTTCCGCATCCCAACTGAGTATAACCCCTTAAGAAGGTGATTAATTAATTAATTTAGTCTTTTAATCTGTTTAGATAACTCAACTAGAGTATCAAGGCGGAATTATTGGACATTTACAAATTTAATAAGATTTAATAAATATTTAAAGTTATAACAATTTATTAATAATTATATCCTAAATAATAAATAACAGAAATATTTTTTAAAATAATTCTTGCAAAAACCCTTTATAATAAAATATGTGGAATCGTGAGTATTCTGTATATTTACAGTTATAGAAAAGATAAAAATAAAACTTTTGTTGTCTTTTAATACGTCTATATATATTTTTTTAGGATATTGTATTTTTTAACATCAAAACATATTCTTCAAAATTTCGAAATATATTAATGTAGCACAGAGAAATAACTTGTAAAATAATTTTTACATGTAAAATTAAGAAAATAGCCTTACTTACTTTTAAGAAAAGAACGTTAACGTATTATGAGAGTCTTCCTAACGAGATTCTATCTAATCCTTTTAGACATTAAAAACATTCACTGTAACAATAAAGAATGCCTTGTCAAAATAACATTATTGACACAAGAAATTGCAAATAACATGACAAATATATATGACCTATAATGCAATGTATTATGAATGATAGTCGTTTCAACAAAAATAAAATGTGATATCACACAAAAAATTTTAATGTTAGAAAATTGTAAAGAAAATTTCAAAAAGAGAGAGAGAGAGAGAGAGAGAGAATTGAAATAATTTTTAATTAAATTGTCTTTCAATTATATTACATTAAATTTTTTAAATGTCAACAGGAAGAAATAATATTTGAAAAAAGTAATAGTCGAAAAGTGAACAAATATTAATTAGACTTTACTAGCAATTTTTTATCTCTTTTAAATCATTATTTCAAAAGAGTCTGCACTTTTCTCGTGTGCGTTTAGAGTGTCCTTTTTATTTTCTGAAAACACGAAGAATTACATTTGGGAATTGCAAGTCCCAAGAGAAATGCCCAACCTATTTGAAGCGTGCACACCGAAAATAGATGATAATGTGCTTGAAACAAGAAAAAATATGATGTCAAAATGAAACAATTTATGTGGACTCTGAATTTTTTTTCAATATATAAAAATATTTTAATCATCTTTAATTTGAATGAATAACAAGAAATAATAATGTTTTGATATTTCTTGCAATATGATATTTAAAATATAAAATTATTACATTATTTAAAGAGAGAGATATGCTAAAAAAAACATAAGCAAATTTTGTTATTATACAGAAAAATCCCATTTTTTAAATATATTTATTGTATTTTTATATTAATTATTAATATATATTCATATATACCATATATATTAGTATGTACTAAAAAATATTACATTTTAAGTTTCTTTCTCAGTTCTATACACATTTTAATTTAAAGTATCTATAACGTATGGAGCGTGTCTAACAATATAAATGCACGGAACATGCATTACTGTGCAATTTATACAAAGCGCCGTCATGATTGAATGTCTCGAAGCAGACAGAATGATAAAAGATGTTTCTGAATGTACACCAAGGATCGCTGCTCGTTAATCTCCTTTATCGAGTGACATCCGTTGCTTTACACAAATGAATCGATAACTGAAATAGCAAATAAAAAACATTTATGACACATCCGGCGATCAATCTCACGCTTTTATTATTTTCAAAATTACACTGGATATTCAAAAGTTGCACATCTTTTTATTTAGAGACGTACTTTTTTTCTCTTTTCTAACATTCGCTTTTTTTGTAACCAGTAGCCTTGAGCGGCCTTTGTGCATTAAGCTTTTTGAACCCAATAATCCATGCAGATTGCAGCTCAGCAACTTGGATATTTTTCCTTTTTTTATTGCGATTCACTCCCCTGTCGTTTCCGTTTGTCTAGTCTTTTTCTACTCCTGTTTGTTTGCAATACGTTCTTATTTTTCGAACGTGCAATATAATAGCAAACGTAGACTGTTATTCATGTATGATCTTTCAACAACATACATGTCAAACAGTTACGGATGATAGACGGCCGTTTACCAATAAAATTACGTCCGACTAAGGGGGTATGAAGGACATATTTTGTCCGTCAAATTAACGGTTCCGCTATTCCGATATTCGTTTGCATTAATATTTAGAATTGATAGTATTGGCACCTAGACTCTGTTTTTCTAAAAAAAAATCAGAATATTTTTTATATGATTTATATACATTCGTACTTCGTAATTTTAATATAGATTCTTGCAAGAATAAATAAAATATTTCATAGATTGTTTTGATAGTAGTAATACAATTTTTCGACATACTCATAAAGTGATTAACTGTCGATTAAGATAATGAAGGAATAAATTAGCGGTTTAATTATTTTTTTATTTATTTGTAATATTTAAATAGATAAGTATGAAGATGTTTATTTATATAATTATGAATAAATAAAATCACTGGTTAACACCATTGTGTATATTGATCACCACTATGGATATTGACGTCACGTATAAAACAACTTTGTCTTTAACTCCGAAAAATAAAATGTGATCAATTTGAAAATAAAAGGAAACCATGAATAATAAAAGTTCACAGTTTTCAAATTTGCGCAATTTAAAAAAATAAATTATACATTTTTATATGAACTGTATTAAATGTAATTCTAAATTAATCAATGCACTTGATACAATAATCTTGAAATATTTTTTGATAAGATATTAAGAAAACATTTACTGAATTGAATTTGTTATATCTCTCTTTTGATACAGATAAGTTTGTTCGATAAAAACTGTGTCATACTTTCTATTTAACTCTAAATATATGTTACATATTACGCAATACGATTGCAAAAAATGTAATATTGTATGTACTTTTATAGATATATTAGATACAATGTGCTATTCTGCAACAGAAATTTAGATATCTTAAAAAGTTTGTTTTTTAAATCTTCTTTTTTGTTTTATCTGTGATAAAAATATATTTTTAGAGAATTTTAAATTTTTAAGAAGATACATAATATGTATTTGCAAGCAAAATATTCTTTATTTATGCCCTTGACGTTGAGTCTTTTTCTAAATATAGATTGGAAATATAGACTAGATAGATAATCATGGGGGAATCGTCGTCGAATATCCAGACGCCGCTGAATTACACGCGCGTGCGGCTGATCGATACTGGCGTCGCTAGCTGGTAAACCGTATATTCCTCCTTTACGCATCAACCCCTCGGACGGATCGCGCCCTTCGGTCCCGATTCGCCCTTTAGCTGGAGCTACCCTTGGTTAATACATGGTAGACGTATAAAATACTTGCCCGGCTGTTTAAGTTAAAGCATTTTCATTTAGCTTGTGATGAGTACACAGACGAGAATACATTGTAGTAAAATATGTGAATATATGATTTGT